TAAGAATGTTTTAATGTATTTCTACTGAGTTTATTCAGTGGCATTATAAAAGAGTCTCTTGGGAAATATTTAGGCATCTCCCAAAATCTCACTAGACAATTATACTGTCTATCAGTTCTAGCAAAATCAATAATGTATTATGGTTAAAGTCAGAAGATCTGGACTGTGTAATCTTGGGCAAGTCAGTTAGTATCTCTGCCACCATCCATGCAGACAAAAAAGGATATTTAAGCTATTTCTCCAAGGCAGAGTAGGATTAATGACAGTAAGTCTCATAGACAATTGTCTCTGTGGGTCTTTCGCCAGTCTCCATTTTTATGTGTGTGAGTGTTAATGTTTATTTTCTTTGAATCCAAATTTAACCATTCACACACTGATGCAAAGACAAGGCAAGTTTAAAATGTAGTTGGGCATGGTTTCTAATCAGATTTCATCATCCTGGACAGTGGTAGAACATTTAAGTGCTCTCTTTTCTCCCTTGGTTGTAGAAAGAGGAAGTCACCAGAGAAGTCCTTCTGGTAAGAGTTACTATGCCTAAGCAGCTCCACATTCTGGGAATTTCCTGGTTTCTTGTTCTCTGGCATCTTGTTTCATCATTCCAGATTTCACCTGTCTTGGTCAAACCTAGCCAGTGTGATGGATAATCAAGTTCCATTGTGCATTTTCATTGTAGTCTGAAGACGTAAGTCACAGACAATCCCACACCAGTTTAGAATTATGATACAAAGGATGGTTATTTATTTAAGGGGGAAAAAACTTACAGATCACCATCCCAGACAACAGCCTTCTGCACAAACAGGAAGGGAGCCTCGTCGCCAGAAGTGGAGCTGGAAGCCAGAGAAAGAGAGGGGAGGGAAGTGGCCGCATTTTTAAAGAGAGAGAGATCACGCCCCAATGGGCTTGTATCTCAGCAGCTCTTGACTGAAGGAGCAGAAGGAGCTCCCGCAACAGTGGTCTGTAACACGAGGGCCCGCTTGTTGGGGTATATATAAACTGAAAGGGAGAGTGAGTTGTGAGTTTCACAGCACAGATTGGTCAGCAGTTGTTTCAATTTAGCTTCATCAGCCTTTCTGCCTGTGAACACTCCTGTGAGATTTGGAAAATAATATTATTGTAAGAATATTGATGCTATTATCCGGTATCATTTTTTCAGAGGCATTTGTTTTGGAAGTTGCAACAAACTGAATTAAGTGTAGCTAAGAAGCCATTATTTTAAAATGCAAATCTCTTTGGTTTGTTATTTGGAAAAACCCACTGCAAATAGGCATGCAATAGAAGAAAGCACACTGTAAGTAGACACTGTTGCATAGCACACATAGAACTAATGCTTGTCACATGTAAGACCCACTAGATTCTTTAGTTCCCATTATAGTACAAAGTTTTCTTACTCTGTAGTTTTATGGACCAGCTGCTTTCCTTGGACAACCTAACCCAATATGTCTACACACAATCTTCCTTCCTGTGTTCTACTGTATCCTTTCTGACACAGCTGAAAGCCATTTTCTCATGGAACCATTCCACCTCCTGCTATATACTTATGTGATCAAAAGTTTCTGCTGTATTGTTTAATGTAGGCAGAGATGGCCTTGAACTTCTGATCATCCTGCCTCCCATGATGGAGAGCTGCTATAGCACCAACACAGCACCACCAACACTGGTTTTATCACATGACAAAAATGCTCATTTGAATATTGTCAACTTGACAGAAGTGAGAGTCATCTGGCACGAGAGAATTCATCTGTGAAAATACTTCCACCAGACTGGCCTGTAAGAAAGTCTATAAGTCATTTTGTTTAGTGATTGACTTGTGAAGGTCCAACCCCATGTGGGCTGCAGGACTCCCGAGCAAGTGGTCCTTGTATAACAATATGCAAGCAGCTGAGGGAATCATGCAGAACAAGGCAGTAAGCAGTGTTTTGTGGTTCTGCTTTATTTCCTGCATGACTCACCAAATGGCAAATGTATGATCCCATCATATTTTTGTTGCCCCCCTGACCATCTTCTATTGTCCCTAAAATATGACTAACTAGTCATGCCTGCTTGTGTTAGAATTACCCCATTTTTATCTATATTCTGGAATCAAATTATTCCTTTGAAAATGTAAGCGCTATTCGAAGTCAGATGTTATGCCTCTGGTTCATTCTGACGTGTTTCTGAACTGGTTCACCCATTTCCTTGGCTTCAGCTACCATCTGAACTGGGAACAACTGTTGCTCCTTCATCGCCCACATTTCAGAGTTCATAAATTGCTTTTAAATATTCCTTATTGTCATTTGTCAACATAGGAATAACTACAGAGAGATGACAATAATACTTCCTTGTTAGGAATCTAGCACACCAGAATAAAAGTTTGGGTGTTGCTCTCTATATAGTGGGAATTAAATATATATTATATAATTGTTAAATATATATTATATAATTGTTCTGGTTTTACATTCCTGCTTCATCCCTCCATTGATAGACTGGAAGCTGTAAGAAGAAATAAATTCTTTCCACATATTGCTTTTATCGTGGTGCTTATCACAGTAATCCAAAACCATGCTAGATCAAGGGATCCAAAACCAAGCTAGATCAAGGGGCTCAAACCCACGGTTTTGGATGTGCTAAGCAAGTACTGTATCAACTGAGCAACATCCGTATTCTGGCTGTACCTTTTCTAGCATAGCACTATATCTTTAAAGGTACATCACACTCTGATGTTATGTGTCCTCAGTTAGCTTTCTATTGCTGTGATCAAACACCAGAACCAAATGTAACTGGGGAGAAGATTTATGTAGCTCAAACTTCCACATCTTTCAGTTCATCATCAGAGGAAGACAGGGCAGGAACTCGAGGCAGGTACCTGGAGGCAGGGACTGAAGTGGAAGCTCCAGAGGAGGGCTGCTTACTTCTTTGTTCCCTAAGAATTATTCATCCTCCTTTCTTACAGCACCCAGGGCTACCTTCCCATAGGTGGTACTGTCCATTGTGATCTGGGCCCTCCCATGTCAATCAAAAATCGAGGGCATGTACCACAAGCTTGTCCACAGGTCAATATTGTGTTTTTCCCCTCAACTGAGATTCTTTTTTCTTAAATGACTTCAACTTGTGTTGACATAAAAACTAGCCAGAACAGTTTCCTAGTCTAGCTTCAGCCCGTATCCGTGAAGTATAAGCTCTAATATGGCAGACCTTATCTGCTTTATCTGAAACTACATGAAATGTCAGCCATCTTTTCTAGGAATTGATAAGGAGACAGGAAACAGAAATCATCTGTTAAATGACTGTGAGTACCCAAAGAGGGTTAAGAAAGAAAATAGCTTCTAGGCTTTTATAGCTTCCTTTCCTTTATGCAATATCTCGCATAAAACTTCATATATTTTTATAGCTTATATGCTTTTACAGACATCACTTCAGAAATAGTGGTCAGTACATGAGGCAGATGATGCCATAAAGTTCAAGATCCTTATGTCCTGAATTCATTTTAAGTCTTTTAATCATTTCTCCAGATGGAGAACAAGAGATGTTCTTTTACTGTTTAGAAGCAATTTCAGTCTATGGTCAGAAAAAATTTCCAAGAATGAGGTGGTTATTATTCTTGATCACATTTTTAAATTGGTTGCATTCCAAGCCCTTGATGGTGTTTCACTTATGCTAGGAATATTTAAGAACTTTATGTATTAAATTACAAATGAGCATTATTGTATCTGACCATTTTAACTTTGTATTTTTAAAAAATGAATTCTATCACAGAAGTTGGAGGATAGCATTTTTTATTAAAAAAGAGTGTTGTGGTTATCGGCTTATAAATCAGGAGCACTTTTTAATATGAATAATTTTCCTTGATTTGTGTGATTTGCAAATAATTTTCCGGCTGCGGGATTTTCTCCCTTCCATGCTCATGATTGGAAGGCAATTCAAATATGACCCCTGTGAAGCTAACACTGCTCAACTCACACAGAAATAGAACTTTATTTTGTGACCTTATAATCAGGAAGGATAAAAAATATCATGTGAAAACCATTATGTCTCTTTTTTCTTTTAAAAAGGAGCAAAATGTCAAAACTCTAGTTAATATTTTTAAACATATATGATCAATAGTCCTGAAAGTAAGGCTTCAAGACTTAGCAGTCCTCAAGTAGAGGCAATCTGTGACTGAACGGTGTCTATATCATCAGCAAATACCTTAGTATGAACTGCCCAGCATTGGGTCCTGCTTCTTTGTTTTCCAGCCTTATATACTGTTATAAACTAGGGAACACAAGGATTCAAATCACTTGTATAGATGAGGGAGATTTTACATATAAAACACTTAGCATAGGTTCTGCTTTACAATAAAGCAATCTGCAAACACTAGTCATTAGGATGCTGTTTATCTGGTGTATCAAGTAGAAATCTTGTTATATTTGTAGATGACTCCCTGCTTAAAGAATGATTCAATACATCTGAAAAAGGAAACAACTCATAGGAACCCATGAATATTTTATAATGGTTATTTAATATTTATATAATACAACTAATGTAATTTTAAATATGTGCAGAAATACTATTGGATGGTCACACCCGGAATAGTGTATGTGTGTGTGTGCGCGCACGCACACATGAGTGTTTTAAAAAGAGACAAATCCCTTATATACAGTAGAGGTCAAATATTAATATTCTGCCCAGACAATGACATTTCCTTGATCTGAAATGTTGTTAGTTCTGGATAGCTGGCTCTAGTAAAGGCAGTGAGACCCAAAGAAGACCCACTGTATGAGCTCTGTTTCATCTCATAATTTCTTTTGGTAGGGGGATTTAATTGAATATTCATTTTCCCTAGCAAAGAGTATGTTATTTTATTTATCTCTTTTATGCAGCCTCCCGATGTGACAATATGTTTATTCCAAAGCAATTTTTTTTGTTAACATAAATGTATAAGTTGCCTTTCTGGTTCATTTCATGCCACTGTATCAAGTTCATAATGAAACACCTGCAAAGTGAGGTAGTTTCTAAGAAAACGGCCAAGCTGTTAATGAAGTAGATATCTTTTAATTTACAAACATCAGTAGTGCAACCGATATTAGTCTAAAGAAGGACAAAGCATAATTCTCATTGTTAAAAAGGGATTTTCTTTTAAAGAAACATCTGCATCTTCAAAATGCACCCTGGAATTTTTCATGAAAGAAGAGCACAGTCTACTATAAATCATTATCAACTCTACATTGTAATTTAGAAGCAAACTTGTTAACATGGGAGCAGTAAGGTAATCAAGGAGCTTTATTATTTGGAGAAAAATTACAGTTTTTGACATAACAGTTTTTCCTCTTCCCCCTCCCCCAAAGCATGGCAGGGAAATATCTATTAATTAATTTGTAAAACGTCTACTTCCTATTGTCTGTTGCTACAGATAATTTCCTTCTCCCTGTGAGGACATGTGGCAGATGGGTGCACTTGCTGTCTCTACTCACAGCCTTTGCAAACCCTCTCTGTAAGTGTCCAGAAAGAGACCACAGGTCAGTGACATCAGTGGTTAGATGTCAAGGTCAGCCAAAAGAACAACATATACCTATCCCAAGATAACAAAATAACATCCTATGTTAGTTCTATTGCCAAAAAAATCCTGATTTTTTTTAAGTTTGAAAATGTACAAAAATATCAGGATAATTATAAATTAATATATATTAAAGCATCGAGAAACAGTCCAAAGTGATGACCTAAATCATTAAGTACAATGTACTTTAATACAATAAATATTCCTCGTTGAAAACGAATACTGTATAGGGCTATTTAGAACTCATAGAAACAAAAATTCATATTATTACTAATTTTTTATTTATCAATAATCTATTGGTTCTTTATCATCTGCTTTATCATTTATATTACAAAAATTTAATACTGGAAAGTGGTAGATAAACACCTTCATGTGCTGTTTCTGCTGATATGCTATCATTGCCAAAGACAATAAAATACATCTCAACACTCCACACCCATTTCTTTCCTGAATGAAACCCAGATGTCAGGACACTCTCTATCTTGCACAAAATATTTCTCTCCCTTGGCTCTATCTACAGATTCTGGATTTCCATTCCCCTGCCTCAGAGTCTCATTGAGATGCTTGTGCTTGAAGTGTTCTTATGAACTGCACTAATGGGAAGGGGGAGCATGGGGTTTCTGCTCTGGGCAATCACCTGTGAGTGTACAGTCCCGTTTTAGGCCCTTGTATATGTGCTTCTGCTAGTATTAGCATGTTCCAGAGATGGCTCCATGTTGCAGTGGTCCCCATCACTGCACTAATGCCTCCAAGTGTGTCTTTTCTTCATACTTCTCCAGTGTAGGGGAAGCTTTAGTACGAGAGCGTGTCTTTTATTATTTTTTTTCCAAATGCAGACAAGTCTTTATTATCATAATAAAAATAAGTCTGTTCTGTATTTTACAATATATTTCAAATATTTCCATTATGAAGCATGAATTAGTCCAACATGGTCAAGAAGTGTACAACCTTTGCCCAAGATGGAGGCTGCCAGAAAGGCAATTAGGAGGCACACCGCGTGCAGCCGCACTTCACCACCTTCTCAACCTCGTCCACAAACGAGGATCCATCTGTGCATTCAAAGGAGTATTTCCGCCTCTTGCTCCTCAGAGGTCCACAGCACTGCCCACCAGTACACCCGCCTTTACATTCCAATCGAGATACTTTCTTTGTTGTCTGACAGGCAGCATAACCCTGCTGCTTCTGGTAATAATCTCTTATCCGTTCCCCTCGACAAGAAATTTCTAGAAAACAAGGAGATAAGAGCACTTTTAAAGACAGACACTGTAGGTTTGATAGAGTGACTGAAAGAAAGTCAAGATCTCCATTTTGTCACTGGCCTTCCTTCCACTTAGTGGCTGCCATTTTTAGTGTGATGCTTGAGGTCCATTTTATGGACTGATGGCATGATCTAGTCTAACTTGAAAATGTATCTTTTAGGCCTCTATTTCCAGCAAAGTGTATGCTATATATGTAGACAATAAATACAACATGTTTGTTCTGACAAGAAAATTGGATTCCTAAATCCTTTCCTTTATTGCAAAAAAAAAAAAAAAAAAAAAGGAGAAAAAAACACACATCTTCTGTTTCTACAGGACTAACAGCTGGTTTTGTTTACCACGGGGAGCAGTTTCATAGAGAATGCAATTTAATTTATTAGGCCCAGAATTTAATATTATCCAATATGTTACTTAATACAAGTAACATTCCACTAACTTCATAAATTACGCTAGTATGAAGTAGTTCAAAAAAGAGCCATCTGCTAAAGGCTCCCGCAGGCACGTTCATCGTATTGTCTGATGCACCGAAATCGGTGCCAGCTGGAGGCCAGGCAAGTTCGGATCTCGGGAACAAAGCAGGGAGAGGTGGCCTGAAAACTCAGCCGGCTTCCATCCCTCTCACCTGCATAATTTACTGTGATAAATCAGTCAAATCTAAGGTCAAAGTTGACTCTGTACTGAAACCAGTGTAGAGTCACCACCTCCGTGGTCTCTGTGCCTGAGGCTGCATTAGTAATACGTGTGGGTAAGGGGGTCGGGTGGTGGCTGAAGGTGAGTTGGGCAGCTGTGCTCTGAAGAAGGGAAAAGGAGACTTTCCCCAGCAAGTCAAATGGCGGTAAGATGTCTGATGGCCATGGAAGAACGTTATGGTGGGAGTTTAACGCTTTTCACAGTCAGTAACTGCATCATACCAGGTGAGAACCAATCAACAACAGTAGCCACAAGCCACGCCCAGCCCAAGTGTTTCCTTGCGGCACTCTGTCCCTTTCACCAGGGATGAGGTTGACGTCACTTGTCACTGCGTAGCTTACCTCTGTCACAGCTGTCCCCGGTGTATCCACTGTTGCACTCACAGTAGGGCTGCCCGAGGCCAGAGAGCCTGCACTTTCCGTGGCTACACTTGATCATCTGGCAGGGGTTAAACAGGTCTTCTTCTTCGTCACAAAGGACACCGCCATGGCCCTCCAGGCACTTACAGCTGTAGGAGAAGGCATTGATGGGCAAGCAGGTGCCATGTACGCATCTACAGTGAAGGAGAAACAGAGCAATGAAAATCAGGTGGATACACGCGTTCAGAAGGTATGGTGGTTAGGAAAAACGTGTCTGAATACAGAGCACAGAATTCTGATGTGTTGATGTTTCTAAGCCCCTGCCCATGCCCTACCAACCTCCTGCTTTCTTCTCTTAGATTGGCTTTGAGAATTTAACATATGCACTGAGTACCAAGCCTCTGGAACTTACTTGTTTCCCAGGCAGGGATCATTGGTTCGCTGGTCACAGAGAGGCCCCATCCACCCTTCCTCACATTCACAGGTGAAGCCTGATTGGCTGCTGGGCTGGCACGTGCCGTGGGCACACACTTTCTTGTGGCATGGCTCACAGCCAGGCAGAATTCCGGTTTGCATGGGCACTTTCCGGAAGTCCTGCAGCTCACTGTTGATGTACAGGTGCCGAATACAGCCATGGAAGCTGGTGCCGTTCTGCCCCGGGGCCTGGCGCAGTGCTGCCACGTTGTTCTTCCCAGGCATGCCTAGGAAGAAAGAGCATGCCACTTAAGACTCTTTACAGGCTCGTTGGTCATTCGCTACGGAGAAACAGTGAAGTTCACCAGTCCACTTCTATTAAATTGGACTATGTGTGCTCCCATGAGGAGGTAGAGAAAAGCTGGACATCTTGTTTTGCATTTTGGTAATCTGAAGGAAGTTATTCTAACTTTTAACTAAAATAAACCTATTTTATAGTGATAAGTTTTTAACTGGTACATTTGTTTCAAACAAATTAGTAATATAAATGATTATATATATACAAATTATATATATACAAATTATATATATACAAATTATATATATACAAATTATATATATATATAAATCTTCAAGAAAGTCTACTTAAGGAAAAACTAGAGGTAGACGTTGTTTTTCCATTCACTATGAGTCTGTACCAGACACCATGCACACTGAGAAGTCACAGTTTATAATTCTCTGATTAATTCTTTTTCAAATTATAAAATCAAAAGATAGAGCTTAGAGAGCTTGAGCCACCGGTTCCATGCCAACCACGTCAGCATTTTGCTGATTGCCTAATCTTCTTAATCCTGGAGCCCAGGTTCAGTCTTCCAAGACTCTGGGAGTGAGAGCAGGGGCTCAGAGGAACCCACCTCAAACTTGTCAAATTCTAACTTAGCAACAAACTCAGCACCCCAGGGACAGTGTCCCTGCTATCTTGAGCATGTCTCTGCCTGAACAGTTCACTGTTGCTTCTCATCAGCCTAACACCTCACTCATACCATGAAGCTTTTATGTCAATTAATAATATTAATAGAGAATACATTCCATCACAAACAGCATTTTTAATCTTGAAGCATACACCCCAGAAGTGACAGTCATCTGGTAACTGCTATTTTGGCAAAGGGGAAGAATCTTTCCATGGCCGGATCGAGACCCTGAAATAGTTCCTCGACAGTGCTTTCCACAGAAGAGCTTCTAGGACAATAGATGAGGTGAGGGGAGGAATTTGGAAGCCACTGCGCTAATGACTTTCTTGTTAATGGTTATGATTCAACTGTGCTTGGAGTTTGATCTGAGCTACTGACTGGGATTATAAACTGGGTTCCACTCTCCAGGGGACTATTACATTCTGGGGTTCTCGTTCTGTGCCATCATTAACTTTCCTAGACAAAAGGTCTCCTTTGAGCCTTAACAGGCACCAAAATCAGTCTTCTTGGTATACAAAGCCACTAGCCTAGAGGTCGAGTCACTATCCTGGTTGAGTTAATATTCATTAACAAGTTAACATGATTTATAATCACTGTGTATCTGAGTTTCTTTTCTTGATACTGTTGTAAAATTCCCCCAACAAAAGCAACCCAAGAAAGAAAGACTTATTTTAACTTTCAGTTCAAGAGTACAGTCTATCACAGCAACAAAGTCTATACATCACATGTAGAATCAGGAAGCAGAGATGGAGGCAAGCCAGAACTCAGCTCACTTTATACATGTTAAGAGTCCTGAATCCCCACCCAGGGAATGGTGACGCTCTTACTAAGATGGGTCGTTACACTTCAATTTTCTTAATCCTCAGATCTATGCTCAAAGGCTAAATGATCCTTCACTGGGAAATACAACTCAGGGTATATGCAGAAAGGTTTAACACAACAAAAAGACAGATGGTGAATGTGGCTGTTAAAGAACTAGGGGCTTAGATCTAAGGCTCAATACAAAGAAGAAACACCACTGAATGTTCGCATTCACCTCACTGCTACCTGACTGCTTCAATATGACTAGCTGCTTCATACTTCATGACTTCCCTACTGAGATGCACTGTACTCTCAGACTCTAAAACAGAATAAACCCTCTCTTCTTCAAATTTACTTATTTCCTGACACTACAAGGAGAAAAATTACTTAGGGAGTATACCCTAACTAGTTATTTTCCTGTTCTGGGACTCAGTTGCCTCACCTACCACAAGAAGCTAGCCAAGAGCGGTCATTTGTTAGCTTCCCACAAGTGTTTGTTCAAAGAGCATCTTTCTGTCCCTCCCTATCCTTAGATGCTGATCTTAGGTGGAAGAGGACAAGTGCAAAATTCTAAATGCCAATATGCAACACAGGTGATTCTGATGCGGGGACACATGGCCACACTAGACCAGGTCCTGGGTTCTTTGTCTTTAATTTAAAGATCTATGTCTGGCCATGGACAGTGTACTACCACACCAAGCTGGAGGCAGGCAGTTCACCATTTCCAGAAGAGTACCACTGACAGGAAATTCTTCCCTGTGGGGAAAGTCTTTCTAAATTGTGTTTACCCATCACAAACATGACCCTTGTTTTGGGTCATTTCTTAAAACAGTTAAAAATGAACCTTTTCCAAGGCTATTTTTAATGCCCATTTTGATGGAGATACAACATTTGTTTGTGCACGTATCCAGACTAAATTGAGATTGGCAAAGTTCCTCAGCAGGGAGAAGCAATGAATGAACTTGTTTCATTTAGTCCCAAAACTTACAACCACAGATGGTGTAGTTTTGATGGTTAAAAAAAAATCTATAAAACAACACAGCTACACACTATATACAGACTCAGCTTTCAATAGCATATAAAATCAAGACCTTTTTTCAATTATTTTTGGACCTGAGGATTGGATCCATACACCTTCCACTAACATAGTAACCACATGTTCTACCTTGAATTACCCCTGTAACCAAGAACTATTCTGGGCAGAACTTTCAAATGCAGAGGTAGAGCATGGGTTTTTAGCAGATAAACAGAAGCAGATCTTTATTTATTGAAGCTGTAATTTACAACACAGCTGAGGATGGCCAGGAACCATAAATACCATTGCTTCAGTCAAACCTGGTAATCCAAGATTTTGCTTCTTAAGACATTTTTGCATTTTGTGGACTTATAGTTGGAAATAAATCAATCCATCAATCAATCACTAAATAACTTACTAAATGGATTTTTTTTAAAGCGCCTTTGCAGTCTCTTTGTTTTAAAATGACTCTAAGGGGAAGAGTATCATTATTGAAAACTTTTGTGCAAAGGTAACACTATTTTGGTAATATATGTCTAGACACCTATATCTTTGTCTTACCCACTCTCCTGACAGTTATAATAAGTGTTCTAGTTCAATTATCAGATGGAAAAACATTAACATTCTTCTGGTTTATGTTACATAAAGATAGTATCACAGATAGTCAGTAATGCAGGAGCATGCTTAGCTGCATTACCAGTTTGCATTTTTCCCAGAGAAATGTAAAGACTTCTGGAAAGGACCAATGTTTAGGATATATGAGGGTACTATCGTCAGGCACAGCTCTGGCTTTAACTAGACTTAACCTTGTTTTCATTTTGTTGACTCAGCTTCTCTGCCTCTGCCATGTGACAGTTGGACTGTGGTCTTCTGGATTCCTTGCATTTTACAGTCAGAACCACCACTGAGAACACAATCTGGGGAAGAAGTAGATGGGCTGAGTGTGTTCTTGGGCAGTAAGGCTAATACCAAGGTGGTTTCCCTTAGGCCTGAATACTCAGAGGTGCTTCTGGATTCTTCTGAGTCCTCCAGTCTGGGAGGATTAGCACTTTTCAATTGGGAGTTTAATTTTTCCCCCATTTAAAAAGATGTTCTGTCTCAAACAATTTTATCTGTATTTTTTTTAAAAAACTAAAGACCATATTCTAGAAGCATTAAAGCATCAGCTCTTAAAGCATTCATTGAAATATTTTTGAATAAAAGCACCATAAATTCAAGTCAAGGACAAATTCAGAAGGAAAGGCAAAACCATATTACTTAAGCCATTTTGTTTGCTGATTTTTGTAAAAAAGTAAGTGGCAACGCAGGCTGAATTGGGGTCAGAAAGACCTGGATGTAAATAATTGTCTACCATAATTTAGCTCTGCAAATTTGGAAAAGCTTTGTAAAATTCTTGAGTCTGTCCCTTTGGGACTATGCAACGGAGAAAATAGTATTTTTCTTCTGGTTTTACTTCAATTTCCTCTGAAAATAAAAGGTTGCACCACTAAAAGCAGTGCCATATAAGTAAAAACATTATTTAAAAGAGAAGCAGGCACTATGTTGGTTACAGCAAATGCTTAAAATACATAACTCATCCCTTTTTACATCGTGGTTGACCCTCAAGACTGACTTTTCACACTGCAAGGCAACTCTGTTCCCTGCAAGATAGGTGAAAATAGAAATTTAAGCCAGAGGCAATCTCAGAATGGAGAGGGGAGGTGACACAAAGTCCCACCCATATCCTAGGAGCTGTTGACAATAACTTGTACTGGAAGAGGGGAAGTCTTATTGAAGTGATACTCCAGGTAAATTGAGCAAACTCCAGTGGAAGTCGTCACACACTGAACAACTGTGGGCAGCTCAAACTGTACTGTGTTTTGCTTTTGTTGCTTAAGGAAAAAAAAAAAAGACACAGATGTGTGTGGCTAGCGAAAGCATGAAAGATTTATAAGGAAAAGAGGGAGGGAAGGATACAACCAAAACTCATCATTTCAAATAACTAATTTTAAAAAATGTATCTCATAATACTCATAGTTGTGAGTCCTATGTACTGATGAGGTCAGTTAGTTTGCTGAGTATAGTCAGTCTTCAAGATGTCAATTGTAATGCCACATCAGTGACTCAGAAATGTGTCTGTATGCTTCATGATGCTGAACCAGAAGTGATTTATTTTTCAATTTTGTGACACTGATCATCCATTAACGTGGTTCTCAGGATATAGTAGATACCCTATCAGCATTGGGAGAATTGAATGAAAGGTGCAGAATTTTTCCTAACCTTTTATAAGCAGCATCAATATTCTATGACTTTTCAATTATTGAAATTATTGAAAATGGAAATATTCTGAATTTAGGACACAATTACAAGAAATAGTTTCATAGAAGATTTGGAAGGATTAAAACATAAAGCAAAGAAAATCAGTCTACAAACCACAATCTCAAGAATGTAGACAAAAATAAGAACCCTAAAAGAGACTTACATAGATCTAATCTACATGGGAAGTAGAAAAACACAGGATCTCCGGAGTAAATTGAGACCATGGGGACTTTGGGAGAGGGTTGAAGGGAGGGGAGCAGAGAAAAATGTAGAGCTCAATGAAAATCAGTAAAAACAAGATGACTGAATAGCATCTTGAAGTTAGTCTTTTGTAGAGACTGAGAACATCATAAAAACACTTATCCTGAGGTGTGTTGATTTGTTTAGAGGCTTTAGTTATCTGTTAAATAAGTTAATTTTATGACTTTATATTTAATTTATTGTATTTCAATTCAATATCACATGCCTTGCCTTATTGTTTTTTTTTTCCTGAATTTTGCAATTCTGCCTCTAATTCATACTTTCTCTTCCAGACACAGACAATGGGAAAGTTTTATTCTTTATAGGTTTTTCTCCCCTGGACTTCTTTATTTCTCTTTCTCTCTCTGCCTCTGTCCCTGTCTGTCCCTCTTCCCCTACTTCATTCTTATTGCTTAGAGTAAGACTGTCCCATTCCTAGCATCAGTCCACCTTGCCGAGGTCTTCTCTTTTTCCTTCACTGTGAAAGCCTATTTAAGCAAATATACTTCCTACTAGTCTGATAAAATCTTTCAACGTGAGCTGCTGATTATTTCATTGAGCTTCAATGATAATTGATCTATCAGTTGAACTTTGATGAACTTCCAGAAATATCAGCATGGTAACATTGGTTTGAGCTGATATTATCTGCATCATTAAGGGAGCTGGACTGGAGATACTTAACTTGTTTAATCATGTGTGTGTGTGTTCAGGTACATGAACATATGTGTGTGTGTGCATGTGTGTGTGTGGAGGCTAGAAAACAACTTCTGGTATCCTTTCTCAGGATCTCTGTATCTTTTTTTTTTTTTTTTTTTTTTTTTTTTTTGGTTTTTCGAGACAGGGTTTCTCTGTGGCTTTGGAGCCTGTCCTGGAACTAGCTCTGTAGACCAGGCTGGTCTTGAACTCACAGAGATCCGCCTGCCTCTGCCTCCAGGATCTCTGTATCTTTTCTTTTGAAATAGGTTCTCCTATCTCCCTGGATCTCACGGAGTTGGATAGGTAGACAAACAGATCTACTATGCCCTAGGGATCTGTTTGTCAAACTCTTCAGCACTGAAATTGTAAACAAACCACAATGCCTGGTATTCCACATGGGTTCTGGGTATTTAACTCAGGTTCTTGAGCACTTCATACACTGAAGTGGCTCCCCAGTCTTATTTTATAATTTTCTAACTTAATCACTAACCAATTTTCTGCTTCTGTCTGCAGACAGTAATAAAATTAAATGACAGTATATATAAATTACCTAGCTAGCATGACATAGATGAAGAACTAATGTCCTTCTCTGACCGATGACATACTGAGTTAGACCCAGAACCAGGATGACCGAATGGTCCCTTAAGAGACACTTCCATCTCATCCAATTACAATGACTGATCAATGTCAATGATCATGGCACCAGTAACTTCAGATTTGATCTATAATGAGAAGCACAGATTTGGAAGACCACTGGATTTGGAAGGAAGTTCACCTCCTACGTAAAGTGGGGAGTCAAAATTCAGAGTAGATTGTTTTGACAAGTTGGTGATGACTTTAGGGCTTCCTCCATCCACGGAGAGGGAAAGACTCGAATCCAGGGTCAGTAGCTCCACAATGTGGAAGTTTCCATCATTGATTGTCTCCACACTGCAATGGAAAAAAATAACTTGAAACATAGTTCAAATATAAACTTCAAGAAACCCAGCTTCAGAAGAGACATGCAGAACAGACATTAAAGATATTGCCTTTTAAAGGTTATTCTTAAGGAGATAAAATTAATTTTGATTTCTCAGGATCTGGACACAATAACTCTGTCCTCTCACAGAGAGAACTGGAAAAAGAGTATGCTCCTTACGCAACCACATTCACTCCATTTGTTTGTCTTACTTTCAAAGGACATAAAAGTTCCATTTACCAAGAGACAGTCTGTGACTCCAAATGATATTAAAAAGAAGCCTAAACCTCTTCTAAAGGCTCTACAGGATTGCTGGCTTTTGCAGTGTGACACCGTACATTAGCACCTATCAGAGTTAAGACGCTGAAGAATACAAGAACCAACATGATAGGATCTCTGCACTTTTTCACATTTGATAAATTGAAAATATACTTTCCTTTCTTAAAGGGATGCTCCCTGAGCTGTATTACTGTGAAAAAAAAATCATTGTTCAATTGAGAGCTGGGATTAATATGTTAAATAAAAAGCTTAACATAGTCAATATGACAGTTTTATTTATTTATTCATATTTTGCTGTGGGGTAATACCATTGTGCTGAGGGAAGCTGTATAGCTAGCAACTACCCACCTACTGGAGCATGACCTCATAGTCTATTTACCTGGATGCAGAAGCACGTCTGGCCCTCCTTTTCCTCTCTGCTTCCCCTTGGGTCCTGTTTGCTGTTTTGTTTGTTTTGGATCTGATCTACATCCATCGTTCAAGCAGAGAATCCTGACTTTGTAAGTTTTACCTTTTAATAAACATTGGTCTATTTTTTAGTTCTGAGCTAGGGTGGGATCCCATATATATAATGTGTGTGTGTGTGTGTGTGTGTGTGTGTGTGTGTGTGTGTGTCCAATCTCTCTGCCTTCACTATTCTACACTGTAAAGATTTGTCACTTATATTGGTTTAATAAAATACTGACTAGCCAGTAACCAGGCAGGAAGAATAGGCAGGACAGCCAGACTAGGAGAATTCTGGGAAGAGGAAAAGCAGAGAGTCAGTCACCAGCCAGATGCAGAGAAACAAAATGAGAATGCCTCAATGAGAAAAGATAGCAATCCACATGGCTAAACATAGACAAGAATTATAGGTTAATTTAAGTTGTAAGAGCTAGTTAAAAATAAGCCTGAGCTAATAAACCAAACAGTCTGTAATTAATATAAGCCTCTCTTATTTTCTTTGGCACTTAATGACTGTGGGACCAGGCAGGACAGAAATTTCCATTTACACATTTTTTCTTTTTAAAATGATTTTGAGGATGTAACATAATTGCATCATTTTCCCCCTACCTCTATTATGTACACTGATTTTCTGTTGTAATTTGACTCTGTTCTCTTTATTTGTTGTCACACCTACCCCCACACAACAGACCCACACTCACACCCACAACCACTATCACTTTTTCTTTCTAAAAACCTTTGAGATAATTTATACAAATGCATGACATGCACAGAAGCAGAAATACTAAGGAATGGATACTAACAGACAATGAAGATTAAGACATGAGATTAAGTTTGACTCAATTATTTAATAGATGCTATATGGGTTTTTAACTGTATTAAACTATACATAGCTTTGGTTTCAAACTGGCCTAAAATCTTAGCAGGGTAAATGCTCACTGCCATGTTAGGAACACTTCCACAATTCAATACATAGGCAAAAGATGTCATAAAAGAAGCTGGGTTAAACCAATAAATACTGAACATTAAAGACCTAATATACTGTAATACTGTCTAAAATGGCTTAGGAAAGGTTCAAACATGGACATGTGTGGGATGTGATAGAGACATCATTTATGAATGTGAATGCACAACACTGGCTGCAAAAATGACTGCTTCATTTTCTGGCACTAATATTTAAATTTTCAAAAGTTCAAACAGAGAAACTAACAGAAGAATGCACCAATATTTCTGCATGTTTTCACCAACAGAATCTAATCATATCCCACTGTTTGTTGACCAAAACTAAAATGGTTTTATTTGAGGAAAGTTTAAAATATTGTTCAGAAATGTGAGGATGTTTGAAATATTTGGTAGAGCAGTGACAACTTCCCATTACTGTGCTATGGAGGTGGTTCAACGAGCAAAGTGCCCACTGTATAAGTGTAAAGACACAAATTCAATTCCACTGTGTCCACTTAAGAGCTAGGGGGTACAATGTATGACTGGAACCCCAATATACCGAAGGAGTGGACACAGTTGGATCCTTAAATCACTTTGGTTAAAATACTTAGATAAATCCATAAGCTACGTACATACATACAGTTCAGTGAAAGAGGCAGAGTGTCATGGAGGAAGTAATCTTTTGCGTCCATAAGCAAAGATGCACACACATGAGCATACACTTGCTAACAGCACACCTCCCCCCCCACCACTTAAAAAGCGTTCACATTGGCAGGGGGTTTTAATACATTGTCTCACATAGCACTTAAAAAAATAAATGTATGTCTAATCTACATGGGAAGTAGACAAGATCTCCTAAACAAACTGGGAGCATGAGGATCATGGGAGAGGGTTAAAGGGGAGGGGAGAGGAAGGAAGGAGAGCAGAGAAAAATGTATAGCTCAAAAAAATCAATAGAAAATAAATAAATATATATATTTTTATATTTATTTATATATATGTATATATATATTTATATATATATTTGTCGGTTAAGGGATGGAAGAATACATCCTCAAAAGTATTTGTTGCCAAAGCCTGATGATCCGAATTTCATTCCCAGAAACTGGGAACTGACTCCTGAATGTTTCCCTCTGACTTCCTGCTATGACATACATGTGCATGCACGCATGCCTGAGTGGGGACACACATAGACACAGAGAGTAAATAAAGTAAAAATAAATGGGCATGACAATTAATATTTTTCCTTCCACACCTTTAATTATCTCATCGTTCAACAATATTAAAATCAGCAAAGGAGGTAATTTACTGCCTAAATAAAGTTCTGCAGTATAAAATATGAACTTCTTCCTTCATGTGTTTTGGACACAGGACCTAGAGAATCTAATGCCTATGAACTGTAGCAACAACCAGCATGAATGGAACAGTGGAGCGTGTGTATCTTCGTGGTATCTTCAACAGCTCTCTAACTGAACTTGAGGTCCCCCAAATGAGAGGGAAATAATGCCCAGTATTGGAAATCTAGCAAACTACCCAGGTCCCGTGACATCTTAGACCCAACAGGAGAATCTACAACTACCAGTTTCCCATACCAGCACAATCCCTAACTACATTCTAAATACCTATTCTTACACACACAGATAAATGTAACTTCCACCTCTCACCACATACTTTTCTCTTGGCAACTGATAGGCTATTACAAAAACTACAACTCGTCCAAATGTAAAGAAGTCATGCTGCAGTACCCAGCAAGCACTACACTACACGTAAACTTGGGAGCATTACAGAGGAGGAACAGAAAGAGTATAAAGCACTGTGTCTCCTAGAAATGATAGCACTATACAAATAGACATGCTAATTAGAATAAGACAATTTTACAGGGCCATAGCCTTGTATAAAGAACTGTAGGCAACTAAAAAATGCTGAGACCAGGAGCAATAACCTTCCCTAGCAAAGACCTTTGCAATTGGTTATCCCATACCACCTTGTTAGTCTGAAATCATGTACATACAAGAAATGTACCTACATTTTACACATTGTGCATGTTGTACTTACATATTTAGGAATGAAAAATGTATCAACTATAAAGAAATATAGAAAACAGGAGTTTGGAAGAGAGAAAGAAAATACTACATGGGAGGGGTTAGAGACAGGAAAAGAAAGGAAGCAAATGATGTCATTTTATTCTTCTACACCCTTTAAAGATTTACTATTTTATGTATATGCTTATTTTTCCCATGTGTAAATCTGTGCACACATCTTCCTAATATATGCAGAGGTCAGAAGAAGGCATTGAATTCCCTAGAACTGGAGCTTTTGATAATTATATTTTAATTTCAAATGATAAAAAGTAATTAAGAAAATGACCCTCTTCCAAAAAGATTTATTGAGTTTTACTGTAGGCACTTGGTTAAACTGAGATAAATTTGGATTGGAGTTCTGCTTTTGTTTTATTAAATGTTTGAGAAGTTATTTTATTAAATATTTCATAAATTATTTTATGGCAACGCACTTTAGTTCTCTCTGGCTAATTCTATAAATAAATATTTTCCCATTTCACAGTTAGTTTTGCTTCAAGAAGTCATTTTAAAAGCATGCACCGCGTAACAAGTTAAATGTCAGGTATTAGTCTCAATATGTTCATCAGCAACATCATACAATATATTCTCAAATCCTAAGCAAAAGTTTGATTTAGTTCATTTTAATATGTCACTTGCAAGTAAATGCCAAAAATCAACAAAAACGTAACTTCTTTGAGGTATATCTTATTCAGAGTACCAAAAGTTACAAACTAAAGTACTAAAGTATAGATAAACATAACAAAGTTAGTAGGTACACAGAGTGAAGGTCATATCCAATGGATGCTCCCCCTGAGAGCATATGCAACTTGAAGTGATTTTATATGGATCTTCTATAAACATTGGCCTTAATTAGATTATAAATATTAATACAGAGTCACCCTTTTTACCTTTTTAAAATTGAGAAGAAAAGGCTTACATCTACTGAGGAATAAGCTCTTGCTCACATATTGATTTTAGAGAATCAATCCAGACATGTCATTGCTAATGAAGGTGTTTGGTGCAGTAAAATTGAGTGGCTCAACACTTTTAACATTTTCTGCTCCTTAATGCAGCGTCCCAGCTGGGAAGCAAGAGGTAGGTCATTTCATCAGGAACTCAATTTACTTACCAATCATTTTATTGTTTGTTCTACGTTTCATTTGTTTTCAAGTTTTACATCTTTAATGCAAGCTAAATTGTAAGCTACTTTAAAGTAAGGGTCATATGCTATTTGTTTCTATATATTT